TATATATGCTAAAAGTATGTATCTATAGTAAATATCTATATTACCTATGTACCTATATATTACCATTTGGACAATTCTATTTCAAATTGGTGATCGTTCAAGAGCTTTTAAATATGCACTTCTCGTGCTGAAAAGTTTTCTATGACTGAAATGCGTGAAAGCCTGACTCGGCGAAGTAACGTGGGTTGTACAGTGAGTCACGAGTGCTTATCGTACAGCCAGTGAGGATTTGCTAACGAGGTACTGGTAAGCGCATACAGTTTCATACGGTTTTGCCTGTAAAAAAATATCCTAATCACAGCTACCTAGATGGAAAGGGTCAGACAATCGTCCAGTTTAATTTTCACTGAAAGTCTCGTATGAAATCACTACCGTCTACAGCCGGAACAAAGCACTACCACTACTAGTTTAGCAACTAAAGAACTTTGCATAAAATCAGACGTTTTTAACTGTTGCTGAGTTTTCATCTGCTCCGCTGCTTGTGGGTGCAGCAAGCAAAGGATTTTGTATAATTGTTTTTGTGTCTTGCGACCACTCCTAAAGCCGTTATTGCCGTTTAACTGTAGCAGCTGGAAAGCAGCAGAATTTTACTGCAAAAATTTTATTCCGCCAGACTTCACTGCCAGACTTTTTAAAATTATCCCCCTCTAACTTAAAATTGTTGTGTGTTCATTTAGTTTACTTAATGTGCAATTTTTTAATGAAACCTTGTAATTCGCCCACAACTGTTGCGTTTTTATTGATCGAACCGACTGTCAAGAACCAATTATGTGAATTTAGTGTGGAATTGCGTGAACATCCTTTCTCGACCTGTCTTTTCGACTTAAGTCGTTGACTAATACTACGAAGCAACTTCGCAGTATTACTGTATAGGGCGATTTTCTTATAGCTAGTTTCAGCTCCTGCACTGCAACCTAACGTGACTCTTGACGTCGCACGCAGCTCCATACGGTGGTCGGTGAAGCAACAGATTCCAATAAAACTAACAGCTGACCATTACCAACACGGAACAGTGAGTGTCCAGGTAAACATAGATGTCATGAACATATCGGGTAGGGCAGGGGACAGCACTTTCATATAGCTTTGCAGCCGTCACGGTGAATTCTTGTCGTTAAACGTTTCAGTGATACACATAACCGAGTTTACAACTAATACATGGCATGATCTCAAGCAAAAGAGAGTTCCACACAGAATTTGAGAACTATGATGGAAAAATGAATAAGTAAACGCCACATTACGTGAGACAGTCCTTCTACACCAAGGCAGTAATTATGTTTATGTAATCGAAGAGCACATCTCATAATGGAATGCTTTACTGAACACAGTTTCACTATTCTGTTAATTCTTCTATCTCTTCTTTCGCATTCCAGTTCGTAAAGAACGATTTCAGGTGTAGTACAAGTCATTCCATCGAATTCAAGTAATGCCTTTACCTTCAATTCTTTTGACGCCGTGTTAACTGCACGAGGTGTTACCTCGTCTTACCTTAGGTTCAATAATCCCTTGGTTTGCAATAACAACACAGTTTTAAATGCACGTCTGCAGTCAAACGACTAATTTAATTGAATACCAAAGTCTCCTTTTCTTACCGCAGCATCTGGTACAATATCATGCCGGATGATATTAAGTATTGATTTTGGAAACTTCCCGTCCACCACTTGTAGTTTCGTGCTGCGAATTATGTCACGTGCTGAGAAATTTAAAATACAGGCTCTGTGTTCCGTGAATGCAAAATAAAAATTTATTGCTGTCTTTGTCTGAGTCACTCGTGGGTTACTGACATTAGTCGGGGAAGCGTGCAAGATGGTCTCGACAGTAGACTTAGTCGTTAAGCAGAGCAAAACGAAGATCAAGAGATCACCCTCATCGGCTAACCACTCAAAGATCGAATCGAGTGCACGACCATCGAAGAGGTCGATAACTTGGAACACATCGGCTATTCACTGGCAAGAGACGGAAGGTGCGAGGAAAAAGAGCGACGCCTAGGACTAGCATCAGTGAACTTTTTAATAGGGCGACTTTTCAAACTGCAAAACACCGATCTATCCGTCCGGGTGGCAACAGAAATCACATATTGAGAGCTGTCGTCTTCGCAGTCATGCGGTACAGCCTTGAAACGTCAACCCTTTTAAGACGAAAACAAAAGATGTTGGATACTTTTCAGCAACGCAGCCTGCCGAACAATGTGAAAGTGCGATGATTCCATCGAATGTCGAATGAAAAGTTCTGGGGGAGACGACCGACCTGAGAATGCTGTCTGAAGAAACCAAGGACCGGCGTCTGTCTTTGTCTGACAGAACCATCGGGACAGAATCGAGACTATTCAAGTCATTCTCTTCTGGGAAGCAAAAATGGCTGCAGGAGCGTCGGAGGCAAGCATCGCGAGTCGGACCTGCTTGGAAGAGAAATACAACATTTGCCGCAGTAGCAAATATTACTTAATCATTCTGAGAAGCCACAGCGTCAGACATCATTAATCTGAATACTCGGTCTTTACCTCTGACACAGCAGATGATGATGACAGCAACAACAACTTGTAAAACACTGTTTTAAAAGACACTTGCAACGGAACGACTGATAACTAATATTATGTACTAATAAACGTCTTCGCGCTGTTTGCATTGCCATGTTATTCTACACATCAAAGGCCATTTAAACGGGCAACGGTTCCATGCCAGACCTGATATATTTCCTATTTCGTGTAAACTATAATGAGAACCGGCTTTACAGACTTCTCAGTACATTATTGCAACCAACAAATTCATGTAATACCTTTATGCACAACAGATTCTCATTACCATGTAACCGCAGACTGATTTATAGACAATTAACATCGAGGAAACACTACACGTCATCGTGAAATTCTATTTTGGAGCAGTTGTACTCTCACAAAGCGCCACGTGCAGTAAACGTTAATGAGCAACATGAAAATCGTGTGGAATCCACCCAATTATGAGGCATTACTTAAACGCGTACTTTAGTTGTGTTTAGATCAAACCTTTTATATTTAGGGCATAAAGATTGGGATGAAGATATGAAGACCCATCCAGAATCAAAAAGTTCGGACTACATTATCCTCATGAACTCAAAGCCATATCTGTTGTACTTCGCCTCGCAACGCAACCCTTTTCAAAGTGACTGGTTCTACTGGCTGGACGCTGGCTACGGACATGGTGTGGCCAGATTCCCAAATGAAAATGAACAATGGTCACCTTCAAATGTCATGGTAAAATCGCTAACCCAAAAGATCACCATCATAAAGTTGGTGCCGCACAATCTCGCAGATTTCCCGATTAGCTCTATTTATCGGAAGAACGTCGCGTTGATCAGCGGCGAGTTTCTTGGTGGTTCCGCTCAGATCATTCCTCGATTCTATTCCCTGTATTCTAACGTGTTTCAAGGACTTGTTCAAGGTGGTTACGTAGATGATGACCAAACGACGCTAGTTATCTGTTATCAAAAGAACCCTACCATGTTTAATGTTGTAACTGGCGACTGGCATAGTGTTTTTGATATGTTTCATTGATAATAGCGAAATGTTCAATGTATGTACATACGCTTTGATAGATGTATGCATTAAGGTTTTAAACAATGGATGAAAAACAAAAATCACATAACAGTACACTCAAGGTAAGTGAATTATTCGTTAATTTTATTTCATGAAAATGCTACGAAACACTAACAGACCAATTCATTCATTCATTTTCCATCAGCCCTACAGCATGCAAAGATTGAATGGCCAGTAGCAACTGGTCATCGATCCCATGTGTTCACAGGGAAGTCCATAGACTGTTCCGCAGAACCCGGTGTCAAAAGCTTTCTCCAGGCCCACAAAATACATATAAACTGGGTGAGCGAACAATCTGGCGTAGGACAAATATATGGCCAGAAGTGTTTCGACCAGGCAGGAAGCCACGCTGCTCTTCTTGTATCTTGGAGTCAGTTATTCCGCGGCAGCATCTTTCTAGCACCGTTGCGTAGACGTTACCTGGAAGGCTCAACAATGTAATGTCCCCATAACTGGAGCATTTCTTGTGGTCTCCCTTCTTGAACAGAAATACTAAAACGTCCGTTCTCCAGTCTACCGATGCCTTCCTCGTAGCTACTGTAGTTTGATAGATGCGTGTACGTCAGCACATATCTTATTCGCTTATTTCTTTGAGCAATTCCCGGCGGGTTTCATCAATTGCATCAGCCTTTTTGTTTTCAAGGTCTCCGCAGCTTGTGTAATTCCTTTTAGAGAGACAGCGATATCAGTTCCCTGCTGCTCGACAGGGAGTCTCCCTGCGGTTGCGCAGGATTAAGGAGTTCCTCAAAGTACTCCCCTCCATCGCTGAAGAATGCAATCCTTGGTAAGAGGGTGTCCAGACCTGTCCTTCAGGACTGAGACTGCCCTTCTTTTCACATCGGAGCCGGCGGATGGTCTGCCAGAATACTTTGTTTGCCGTGTGGTAATTCGACTCCAACACCTCATCGAACTTCTCCCAAGAATTAGCCTTGGCTTTTGCCACTGCTATGGCTGCCGCCTTGCGTGCCTCGACATATCGCACGCGTGTAG